TAAATCGATTATCTTTTTTTATTTTACAGGATTTCATTTAGTAGCATATATTACTTTATATGCATCAGCATGTCTCAACCCAATAATTTATGTTATAATGAATAAACAATATAGAAAAGCTTATAAATCGGTGTTGACATTCAAATGTGTAACATCAAACAAAACAATTCCTGTTTTCAGAACTCTTTCGAAACGACTACATCCTCACGGTAACTTTTCTACAACATCATCTGGCATGCAACTGCACTAAATATATTTAAATTTACACGTGCATTAAAGTTTTTTTTCTTCGAATCCTTGCTAAATGTTGATATAATTACTTAATATAGATATTCATTTCGTTGTTATAGTTAAATGTATTATTCTACAAGTTAAAATTGAAGTATTTAATATTGTTAGTACTTTTTACAAAAAGATTATGTATATTTTATAAATACTTAACTTCAAGACTGTTAACCTAATATATAATGATAGACATTACTTATGACTTGTATATTTACTTATGTAATCTTTATATATTATTTCAGAAATGTTTTATGGAAATTATAATGTATATATTATAAAAACACAATATTTTTTTAAATAATATTCTTTACCTAATTTCTCATATATTTTAAGAAATATAACTCTAATATGTAATTCAACGATATTCGTATAAATATATTTTAAAATTTAATTTTATATATTTACAGATCGTTGTCCAGACGAAGGATGTAAAACTGTTGTTTCTCAAGTGTCTATTGCTTTGGAACAACTTAATAACAACACACGTATTTTGGATAATGAATCACACTAGTTTAAAATGTTCTAGTTTACAATCTAGTCAGTGTCGCATGTAGAAAATCAATGACTAATGGCAAAATAAAATGCCCTTTCTATATAATGCCTTTTTAGAAATTATAATTCATTATCTTTATAACTTACCTATAGTTAATAGATATTCACGAGTTTTATTAAATTTTTTATTATCTAAGTAAAATGTTTTGTTCTGTAATAGTGGAACAAATCCAATGAATAAAATAATAAATAACACCTAGTTTTTATTAAAACAAAATTAATTAAACTGTTTGTGATCTTAAAATAGAACAATTATGTTTTTTGAAAAATTCAGTTGTTTATTTTGTAATTTATACAATGGGACGGTTATTTGTAAAAATAATGATTATTAATGTAAAAAATTTACTCATAGTAGAATTTTGATTGAAAAAATAGATGGAATATAAATTTAAAAAATGTTAACATTTTAACAAATTTATGTCTATTATAACTCTATTATAAGTACTTTATACTCTTTTTTCCATTCAATTCATTCTAATTCAAAGGTCTACATTTAAAAATCTTTTTATTCTTAACCATTTTTGGTTTTCTCACAACACTGTCATTCCTATCTTTATAGTATTGCATCAATTTAATCAGACAATTTATTAAAGTAAAATAGTTATTTTATGTTATTCCAATATAATTATAATAATTCACATTATTACTACTTAAACTTAAACTTTTTTAAATCAATTTAAAATAAAATTTAATATTTTGAATAATGGAGAACTATTTTATTTATACTTGTCAACAAATATTTAAAGTTATTCTACATAATACAATGATAATTGTAAAAAAAATAAATTATAACATAATTACATTTTGGTTTATAATTCTGCAAATCAAATAGTTACCACATATTTATATTATTTTATTATCGATAGTGAAAGGTCTTAGTTTGATTATAAGTTTATTCTATTGTTTAGTATCAACATTTTTACACATGCTATTTAAACACTTACTCTTTATATTTCATGTCACAGAGATACTGAGTGTCTAAAGAATAAATTATAATTAAGCCATTTTATTATATTGATTAGGGCATCAATAAACCCCATGAAAAAACTTTTTTTATTCATTTGGTAATAATTGTTCACTGTTAGATGGTATCCATACATACAAAGTATTTGTATCTCTATCAATTATTTCTTGTCTTCCATTAAATTGCTGAAAACTGTTTGAGTCATCGTTATCACCATGGTCTTGTGTTCGTAAGTTAAGATTTAATGGAGCAGGGACACCATCTGCAGTTATCAGTTGATCAGTTTCATGAGAAAAATTTTCATGAAATTTAACTTCTCCGTCAGTGTTAGTAGACATCTTTTCTTTATCCAAATCTAATTTTGTTATATGAATATTCATATCTGAAGATGTAACTATACCACTGACTTGACCAGCATAACTACTAATTTGAACAGTGTTGGTATTATCTTTTCTATGAACTACTGTATGCCGCCGCATATCTGAGCGTACTCTAAATGCTTTACCACAAGTTTCACATTTATATGGTTTTTCTCCTACAGTTAAAATAAATATTGTATTACACAATAATATTTTTATTAATTATCAATTTTTTTATCATACATTTTTAATTATTAAAGAAAATATGTTGGGTTACCAAAGTATTAACTATTATTTCATTCATTTTTAAAAATAAATTAACTCTAGTTTATACTCATAAACATTATTAACATTTTTGTAACAACTAATTTTTGAAAAAACAAAATTCNTTAACATTTTTGTAACAACTAATTTTTGAAAAAACAAAATTCATGTCTACTACATATTAGTTTATCAGTATGGTTTAGTTAATATGAAAATAAATGATTATTACTATTGGAGGGTTTTTATGAAATTATTTCTGAATTTAAAAAATTTTTTATAGAAAAATTTTAACTATTACAAATTATACCAGGCAATTATTTTTTATGTTAAAACTATCTTCCAAAAATATTTATGTAAACACATAAAAGATCACTTCGTTAATATATACTGTAAGTAACTGCAAGTAAAATAATACTTCATTTTTAAATTAATAATAAACCAATTCAAGTTGTGTAACTACTAAAAAGCAAAAATATAAGTGCGAAAATGTTCATAAAAAATGTAGAAATTTTTAAACATAATTTAAATATTTTTAAACTAAAAATAGTATATTTTCTTAGAATTTATAAAAGTAACATTGTAATATTATCATTTTTGTAAACCATATTGAGAATCTTGCAAGGAATTCCTACTATACTATCTGGAATTCTTATCTTTTTGAGCTTCAAATATGATAAAAATTATATATTATCTTACCAGTATGTATACGACGATGATTTTGTAAATAAGAAGATGCTCTAAAAGTCTTTTTACAAAATTCACAAACATAATTCTTTTCTCCAGTATGTATTCTTCTATGTACTATCAATGAATATTTACGAGCAAAGTCTTTACCACAAAATTCACATTGAAATTGCTTAGATTCAGAGTGTAATGAAGCAATATGATATTTAAGATCACCCCATTGTCGAAAATTTCTTCCACACCATTCACATTCAAAAGGTTTATCACCAGTATGTAACCGATTATGTACCTAAAGTAAATTATTTTTTTTATAAAATTCTTTTAGTTATAAATATAACATTATGTAAAATACTTTTAGAGCACTGCTTGAGAAGAAACTTTTTGGACATAATTTACAACTATGAGGACGTTTTCCAGAATGTGACCTCAAATGATATAGTAATGAGTTACGATGATTAAATTTCCTTTTACATTGAGTGCAAACAAGATTTTTTGAAATATTTTTTTTCATTATTTGTTCAAGTTCATCAGTATCATCTTCCCAAGTGTGTTCTGCTCGACTAGTTTCACCATTATCATCATTTTCATTTATTAAACTATTATTATCATCACCTTTAATTTCAGGTATTGGGCTTTTGTGATTTATGCTATTTTCACCACTATATTCCCACCTATAAAAATGTATGACTATTTAATGGATGTCTCATTTATTCAACAAATGTGCATCAAAAATGATTTATTTTAATTAATATCTCTCATTTTAATAAAATATTCAACTCAACAATTGTAGGGAAAAAATTATATAATATTGATGTTAACAAATAATTTTAGTTTTTTAAAGGCTCAACATAAATTCAATTTATTTATTGATATCCTACAATATTTAAAAAAAAAGATATATGAAATTAGTGACCCATCGATAATAAAAGTTATAAAAATGAGTAGTATTATAAGCTTTTATAATATACAAGTAAATACAATTACCATATTTCTGACCACTTATAGAACATGAAAGTTTTCTATAAAACATTTATCCTAAATCACTTAAGATAAAGTATTACATCATGATACGTTTTACCTATTTTGTNCATTTATCCTAAATCACTTATGATAAAGTATTACATCATGATACGTTTTACCTATTTTGTGATCTTGCCAACAATGATACATAAAAAAATATTTAAAAAACTAACCGGTTGTAGTTCAATTTATTTTTGTAAAAGATTTTTTCTTAAATAATAAAGCTTAATTTCACAAATATTATAAAATCAATTTTCCATTGATATTTAATATATTACTATTATTACTACATCATAAATGTCAATGTTTTTTTTTATTCAATTCTGTAAATCACAATTAATTATTAAAAAAGTTAGAAAATTTTCTTATAATCCTAATATTTGGGATTCATCAAATCACCAAAATTTGTTGAGACTCGAGAAACCATACAGTCGTAAATAGAATAAATCGTTCATATAAAGTAAAGTTAATTTTATCTTTTTTTTAACGCCTATATATTAACTTTTCTTTTACTATATGGTCTATTTAATAATTAAAATGTCTTATGCCCAAAACGTATTATTTAAATCTGGGATGAACTTAGCAATCTAGTCAAAACTTAAAACTATCTTTGTAAAAAAATTAAACATACTCTTGTATTTGTTCTTTATCTTCATTTTCTGATTCTGTATCAACACCAGGTACCATATGGCGTATACCTTCCATCAAATCTTCTGGATCAGAGAATTCTTCTAAGCAATCCTGTTTCACAGTTACAACTGTGGCAGGTTGGGGGTGAACTGAAGCCATATGTACTTCTAATGCTTTTAAACGGCGGAAGTTACGACCACATAGTTGACATGATGGGAATGGTTGTTGAAGTTGAGCTGCTAATATAGATCCATCAGATGAGAATATACAATGTTTATCATCTTCAATATTATCTTCATTTAGCTGAAAAATTGAATTAATAAACTATAATGAAAATACTCTAGTTAAAACAATATTACTCTATAATTTTGCAAAGGAGGCAAATCTTGAATGTTTGGTTGATCATGGATAGTTTCTTCAATGTATTGATTTTCAATACTATTAGTTGAATCTTGAGTGCTAAGATTTTGGAAGTTAGTATGATGAGGTGAAGTACCAGAATCAGTAGTAACCACAATTACTTTACTTTGTTGAGGTTCATAATGAAGTTTCAAATGTTCGAAAAATTTAATCTGGTGAGTGAAATTTTTTTCACAAATCTCACATAAAAAAGGCATTCGTCCATTTAATCTTTTTGGCGTATGTATTGCTCTATGTGCCTAATATATAATTTAGGTATAATACAGTTTTAAAGAAATCAAACTTACTAAAATAATAAATAGTTACTGTTAATAAAGATTGAGAATTAAATTGTTCACCACATTGTTTGCATTTATAGCATTTAGGATGTATACTTCTTGGAGAAGTTGGAGCAGTCTCTCTTTTGCGAAATCGTTTTTTGTGCGGTAAATTGTTTTGAATTTCTGCGTGATAATCTGACTCTGAAGCTTCTACTTCAATTAAACTTCCTGAACTTATAATCTAATTAAAAAATATTATAATAATAAATAATACATCTAATACTATGAAATATACACTTAAAAATACCTGTTGGCTATTAATATGACTTGTAGATTGTGAAGAATGCTTATTACTCGAGTCTAGATCAATTTCAGTACTATACAAATAACTAGTCATAAGGTGTGAATCATGATGACTCCCATCAACTAAAGACTTGTTCTGTTGAGCAAGTGCATCAGCCAATTCATTAGCTAAGCGTCGATCATCTTCAGTAAGAGTAGAAGACCCATCACCAGATAACATATCACCCGTATCATAATATGTTGAGGTATGATGAGAAAACTCTCCATTTTCATCTATATAATATAAAATAAATGACATAATTGATAGATAACAATATAATAACAAAACATAGAATATAAACCCTATAAAATATTTTTAATTTTTACATTTAATTAAATTTTTTTTTAATACAATAAATGACTAGTATTTTTAAACAATTGAGTAAAATTTTGTAGTAATTAAATTAGAAATCTCAAATTAATATTGTTTATATTTATTTCACTGAATAATAACAATTTTCAGTTGTAATTTACAAGTACGTAAGTGTGATTTCTCAATAATTGAAATTTTACAGAAGAATAAAAAAAAAAAAAAAATTAATACAATAAATAGAAAAGAAAGATAAACAATATTTTAGTATAATTAAGTTAAATATATTATAAACAAATAAAGTGTACTTCAATNCAAAATTTCAGTATAATTAAGTTAAATAAATTATAAACAAATAAAGTGTACTTCAATATAACAGTTTTTTTTTTAATGTAATAAAAACATGCCATCATTGGTTCTAAAATATTTTATACAATAAAAAACTTATATTTTTGAACATTTAACTTGTATACTTCAGTCCTATTAATTTTATACTACATAATTAACTACTACAAATTAAATTTAGAACAGATTTATATTGTTTTTAAATTTACAAAACTTGCCTATACGAAATTCATGAGGTAAATTATGTTGATCACCAAGCTGTTTATTATTTTCATCATGCTGATGACTATGTTCAGTGATGTATTGATCAGCTGTTTCTAAGAACTCTCTTGAACGTTCATCTAAAATATCATTATCCATTGTAAGACCACTGATATTGATTATCACTTAACTTATTCACCTAAAAAAAAATATTAAAAATTATACAAAATTTAAAATTAAAATATTGGTATTGCTTAACTTATAAATGACATAACAACAATCATAAATAATAAATAATAAATCATTAGTTTTTCATAATGCAATAAAAAACCATTTATTTTAATTTTACACAAAATTTAAAAACTATACGTGTCTTCTAATAAAATATGAATAGCTCAAACATTATTAATAAAAACAGATATATAAACATTCTATCTGTTATACAAATATTTAAAGTTTTTAGGTATGAGATGATAAGGATTTCATAAAATATAACATTAAATGTTAGGACATCCCTAAACAAAATTAAAAATATATCAACAGAATGTTTTTTCTTGCAATTCAAATTGAAGTTGAAAATATTTAATATAATTATTTTTTAACTAAGTAGTAGTTGTGCAATGTTATAAATGACATTAATGTTATCTAAATATTAGGTTAACAATATAATTATTATTTTAATGGTAATATTAACAAAATATTTAGAAAATAACTGAACCAAGACAAGAAATATGAAATGTGTTATATATAATTTATTAAAGTTAAAAGTACTCTCATACCATGACTTCAATATTTCTGTCACTTGGCTATCTTAGTAGCATACCAAAGTATTCTGTTTTATTGACACATGAACTATTTCCTTATTCATTACTTACTGACAAAAATCAAAAGATTGGTTTTTTTAGTTATGATTTCTGTTATCGCGTTACATTTTTCAATTTGAAATTATAGCACAGTCGCTCGTTGGCAGTGGTGGCTCTGATCTTATAAGATTGTTGAGTCGCATACGACATTACCTTCACTCTATAACCCAGTTAATTTTACAAAAAATATTAGTATAAAATAAAAACTGCAGAACGATCCATTACTATACATAAGTAATCACTTACAATTTTTAGAGTTGTTGAATAAAAAATGATATGACAATGTATTTATTAATTTGAACGCGCTGTGTGACAATGTTTAGGATAAGCGTAACGCCGGATTGATAGTGGCCAATGTGCGACCAATTGACTGTACCTGCGCCTAACAAAAATGTGACAACAACGCAAAAATCACACAGACCCGATACAGGAAGTAAACGAGGTAATATAGGAAATAAGAAACTGCGTCCGTGCGACGATCTAACGTGTACCCATGTTATATACAGGTTTATTATACAATTACTATCATGTACCTATAGGCCATAACAAAAAAATCACACATACAAACACGATTATTCGTATGTATAGAGTACAGTAAATGGAGAAAATATGTGTGGGAGGTGGTAGAAATGTGGGAACGGCAGTTGACGTCATACACGTAACGACATCTATCGTTATTATTCTCAAATAAACCAAAATTATTTTGTCACCATCGTCGTTGTCAATTGGTCCGATAATTTCTAAATATTTTGATTTCGGTTTCGTATCCTAGTGATAATAGCGATGAATACAATTATGTAGAATTGACTTAACTTTATCTTAAATTTGATATTTACTAATCTTAACGCCCACATTTCAGGTATCTGTAGAGTATCATTTGTAGAAGTTCATTTAAGTACTGTCGTGTGTCTAGACACCCGCGCATTATAGCAGCGTAAGCATATCAAGTGCTGTATGGATATGACACGGCGTTGACACCTGTTGATAGTTTCGGCAAATAAATTGTCATAGTCGTCTTCGAAGTTCGACTTTGTCAATTTAATATTATTCATGGCGAACAACGATAATATTTTTGTCGGTAAGTGATCACAATAACAATTGTGTAATTACCGAAATTAATTTTTAACCTTCTAACTTTCTAATTTAAAGTTGTACATTTAACTAATTAAATTAATTTTTATCAATTTTAATTTTTTTAATCTCGTATAAATTTTACATATTTTCAACAACTTTTTGATCTACTATTATTAAATATCATGAATTATATATTTCCGAATAATTAAAAAAATTTAGTTGCTTATGGTCTATCACTAGACAGGCTTAAATAATTTGTAAAAATCTTTAATTGTTTTATTATATTAAGCTATTTGCTGAGTTTTCAATATTAAAAAATTATTTATAAAGCATTATATATTTATTTTTAAATTGATTTTTGTGAAATCTTTATTATTGATTTAATGTACAAATCATTGTCATATAGTATATTCAAAAATTATGCATTACTTGATTAGAAAAATTGCTTTTAGCTATTATGCTACAGTTTTTGATATATATATATATATATCCTGATTTATTCATCAATATTTTTCTCTTTTTAAGTAAAATATTAACTTATATATCTTTTTATTACAGTAGTAGTACTTATTTTATTTAAACAAGTTTTAGTAAATTTGAAATAGAAATATGTAGTGTTTTGTTTCACCTTGGTAAAATTTTAGACATCATAAAAATGTTTCTTATTAAAATTTGATTATCTTTCAAAAAATTTTAGACGAACGAGAAGATGTTCAAAAAAAGACTTTTACCAAATGGATAAATTCTCAACTTGTAAAAGTAAGTAATCTACAGATGTAAATTTTTTTTTGTTTCCAAATTTAATTCATTTTTTTATAGGAAAACCATGAACCCATTTTTGATTTATTTTTGGATTTGCAAAATGGAACCAAATTATTGTATTTATTAGAAATCTTAACTGGTATTCAAATTGTAAGTATCACATATAATTTTCATAGGTTTTATTTTAAAAGTAACTTTTTTTAGAAACCTGAAAAAGGTCGAATGAGAGTTCATCATCTAAATAATGTCAATAAGGCTTTACAAATATTAGAGCAAAACAATGTAAGTATTTTAAATTAAAAAAACCCAGCCTAGGGCGTCGCGGCATAGTGGTGACGTAGCATAGTTGAGTCGAGTATAATGATATCTGACAATTACTAAAATCACTATCATAAAAAACGCTTCGATGCAAATCTTTAGATAGTGTTTCATTTTAAAAAATTGTTGGATTATTCCAAAAAATAAATGATTTCCTTATTTATATCCTAATTAAGATAAAATATGTCAAATTAAAGAGGGATATAAATATTATNAATTAAGATAAAATATGTCAAATTAAAGAGGGATATAAATATTATTTCTCGTAAAAAAAATTGTATTGATCCATACACTTTTTTAGAAGTTATAGCATTATAAAGTTAAAAATATAAAATCGAGAATTTGATTCAAAAGTTAAGTTGAAAAAGTTGTCATTTTAAATCCCTCCAGTGGGCAGGTGGTAAAGGGTCAGATTAAAAAAAATACATATCAAATGATAGGTATAGACATCATGCATCTATAAAAAAAAAATTATAATTGGTTATTTATAAAAAAATTATGGCAGTTTTAAGTAAAAAAAATTGAAAAAATGTTGAAAATTAGCAATTTTTAAATTTGTAATTTTTTTGGAGATTTCCCTCATTTACGGGGAACGAGGAAAATTTTTTCAATTTTTGAGGGTACTATCTTCTACTAGATACAATTTGTGATCTTTTGACGTATCGTTAAAAGAAATCAGTTCAGTGAGAACTAAGAAAAAGTGGTAACAGACACAAAAAAAAAAACCACATCATAGTAAAAAATTAAACATGTAAAGTAAAATTTTAAATTGTGCTTCTATTAGATTGCTTATATTTTCAAACAAATACTGGTAAAAATAAAATAAAACATTTTTTATTTTATTTTCAAATTTTATAGATGTTTAATTCCTCAAACATAATTTTAATACTTCAGTTGTATAACTAAAGTATATAGTTATTATATCATAACTACTTTATTTTTTAGGTGAAGCTAGTCAATATTAGCAGTAATGACATAGTTGATGGCAGTCCAAAATTAATTCTTGGACTAGTTTGGAGTATAATATTACATTGGCAGGTACTATATAATTTTTATATTAAATTATTTTAGGAAAATTTATTTAATTATTCTTTTATATTGTGAATCTAATTTTTATTATATTCTAGAATATATGTGTACTTAGTCTTTGTATGCAATTTGTTATATTTTTTATTTTTGTAATATCAATGATTAATATAAATGATAATAAATATACTCTATGTAAATACGATTATCTTAATATCTCTATTATATTGTACTAAATTATTAAATTTTACAAACTTTTAAGAAATATATTGTTATAAAAAACTATTGAAAAAGCTTTGCAATAAAAAACTTAATATTTTGTTTAGTTGCTTCTTACCGAAATAGATCGTTTTACTTCATGTTTATTTAAAAATTTGTGAATAATGATAGTAATTATATTTAGGTTGATTGTCATTTAAAAGAATTAATGACAGAATTGCAACAAACAAATCTTGAAAAAACTCTTTTAGCATGGTGTAGATGTAATTTAGAAGTAAGTAGATGATCAATATTTGTTATTTTATGTTATTAACTTTTTTTACAATAATAATTAATGAAAATAGGAATATGGAATAGATATTAAAAATTTTACCACTTGTTGGACTGATGGGTTAGCTTTCAATGCATTAATACATAAGTTTCGATCAGATCTTATAGACTATAACGTAATTTTAAAACAACATTCAAATGTTAGGCTTGAAAATGCATTTGCAACTGCTTATGTACATTTAAACATTGAACGTCTATTAGATGTTGAAGGTGAGTTAGTATAAAAAAACTATGTATTTCTCATTGTGTTTAAGTATTTTATTTCTTTTTTTAGATGTTAACACTTCAGTTCCTGATAAGAAGTCTGTGAT